TTATACACCGCGTCTGCAAGGAAAATATATTCTCCAGTCCACGTTTACCACCTTAATTATTTGACTAAGTACTGCAAATATTCCCCAAAGATCTCAGAGGCTGTTAGTACTTACTTTACCCAACAGATTTCTGAAAGGACAATTAAATCAATTAAATACTCATCATTTAATTCAAAAAGTGTGTGTCAGACACATGACCTGCGGGTGAGTTAGGATTATAGTTTGCACTGTGCTAATTATATTGGGATTTCTTGAAAATATATTGGCTTTATGCCCACATTTTGTTCCCTCAAATAAACAGTGGAAGCTGAATGGTGAAAATTGAACATAAAAAAAGCTTTAAAAAAGTTCAGACAAAAAAATATTTGATTGGTTTTAATCAAAATGACCCATAGACATTCGATGGATAGAGAAATCGTTAAGTCATGACTTGTCTTCTCTGACTCTCTCTTGTACTGCATACAACACTTATATTTATCTTTCACCAAAAAGAGACTACATTTTTATTTAGTTTCTCTCAAAAACAACAATAATTTGGATTGGAGCCTAAAGTATATCTTGGAATTTTGAGCAAACATTCCAAAATATGACTTGCTTGACTTAAACTGTTCGGATTTCAAAACCTTGTAATAAAACAGCTGGGGGATAAATACCGAAAATAAGGTATTAATTAGACTTACTCAAAAGCTTGCACAGAAAACCTTTCACCTAGTAAATCAAAATACGTGTCTCTGGCTTCCAAAAACATACACATGTACTGTACATACCTTTCAGATATAGCAATCAGTATTAATGTATAATTTGAGTTAACAGTCATTTTAAAGTATGAACCAGCCTGAATTTGATGTAAAAAGACAGACAGTGAGTTGGTCTTACCTTGATATTTTGAGCATGACAGCTTGCGTTGTCCATGGAGCGTCTGGTCATCTAGTGTCCAAGAAGTTGCCTATCAACACTGTCTAAACCCAATCACACAAATCACACATGCCTGGGCTTACAGCAGGCCGTATTCTGCTCTGCATGGCTTAAGACGCAAACACACACACACTCAAGCATGCAGGCAACCACTCACACACACACTCTCACCCTAACACACATGCTGAGCTTTAGAAAAGGATCCCCGCTCCTAATCCAAGACTTCTTGATGCATATTTATAAGAGGACCAAAGGAGAATAAGAAGGGAACTCTGGCACATAAATTATGTTACGAAATGTAGAAAACTTGTGAGGAGTAAGATTTAAATTGTGAAGTGTGTGTGAGCGTAAGAGAGCGAGAGAAATAGAAAGAGATTACACAGTCCCAGCCTGTCTATGTCGTGGCCTAACCAACCAATTTACAGCCACTTGCTGGGCAAAAACGCACCATGACAGGTACAGTAGTGCAGTCAGTCTACTTAGCCTACATTGTATCTACGTGTGTGTGTGTGTGTGTGTGTGTGTGTGTGTGTGTGTGTGTGTGTGTGAGAGAGAGAGTATTGTAGAGATATAA